AACTAAGTTATATTGTCAGCGAAGGAAAATGTTGAAGCATAATTTGAAAATTATTAAGGATTATAGTTATCTCTACCCTTCCTCATTATCACAGTTATGTGAAAGTTGGTGGCAAGTAAGAAAATTAAGAATGAAATATTTACCAAGAATAAAAATTTTAAAAAGGCAGTGACAACCGTTTATGATAAAATCCCATAAAAAGGCAACTGACTATGCCATAGATTGCATTATACAAGTCAAATTTTGTTTCTTTAGCCACATCCTTCCCAAACACTTAATTCACTTAATTGACATTTTGAGCCGTCTGCACTGTATTGGTTCCATGACAGAATTCATATTAGAAAATAACATGAATTTTTGACTTACCCACAGTTTCACAAAAATTGCTTTTAAAAAGGTGTGAAGGTGATAATCACAGGTGATAATCACAAGCCAAACTGCATTTGAAAGACTAAGGATGTACCTTCACAATAAACAAAACAAGAAATGTCAAAGTGAAACAGAGTTATCAACTGTCAAACTTAGTACTTAAGGAAATCAGACATTTTATGCTTAATAATTAATCCAATCTAATACATTGGTGGTTGAGAGATTGTCCAGAACATCCTATATTCTTAAGTGGGTACACCTTTATCATTATTTATGTGTAACTCAGAGTTAAGAGTATTTTTTAATAAATCAAATATTTAAATGTGAACCGAGTTTATTAAACCATCTTTAATTTACATGATATTTGTGCATTGGAAATCAACTACTATTCATTTGTGATATAATTAAATTCCTTACTAGTGATTTAAGGTACCGTAACAGAGTCATGTTTAGGTTCTCCGTTTACTAGAAATCACAGTAGATTATCTATAAACACAGTTCTTAGTAAGCTTATAAAACCATAACTATGTACTCTTACGAAACAGTTAATATTAGAAATAACAAAACAGTATTTAAATTCAGCTGAGAATGTGGCTTGTACAAGTAATAAGACATGATTTAGAACAGATTTAAAGAGGTTCATAGAGAACTGCTCATTGTTTGCTCTATGAGGAGGAAGTGGTGAGCCAAGGAACAGTCTCTGTGCATGACACATTGCTCCTATACGTGATTTCTTCCATGTCACTTTGCTCTACTGATTCTCAACATTAAGAGCACCTGGAATCATTACACCCCAGACCAGTCGAATCAGAATCTCTAGGGGTTGGTGTACATAGTTTGTATAATAAGAGTCTTGGCACCCAACACCACTTAAAGTAGCAAAAGAAAATCTTAGGATTCTTATCTGAAGTAAAAACAAGGTTAGGAGGGTTGCAGGGGGCAGTGTTCCTGGTGGAAGCCAAGCAGACTTCTGTCCAGCCTGAACTATGGGGTCAAAATACAAATGATTCAGCTAACTGGATTCATGTAAATTAACTAAATGTCTAATTAGAGGATTAAGTGGATAATGATTTAAAATCCCCTGCAGTTCTCCATGCTTTGTGTTCTGGTAAAGTTTTATACTGTGCTTTAAAAAATACATATGGATAAAGATAGTTATTTTTTTCAAAAATGAGGATGAGATCAATCTCTGAATCTACCTGTGACCAGCAAATCACACTGGCAGAAGAGTAGACCAAGGATAAGGATGCACGTTTGTGTCTTCTTCCCTATGTACCGTAAGTAGCTCACGTGAAGCACACAGACATTCAGCCTTAGGTTGAGGCTCATCTGCGCCAGCTTTAAACAACTAATTGACACAGAATCAGCAAATAGAAATTAAAAAAAAACAAACGGTAAGCTAAGTTAGCCAATCCTATGTTTCCATTTCAGAAAGTATAAAATTTTGGCGAGAAAAAATATACATCTCATAATTTGTACAGCCACTGCCAACTGTGCACAATTATTTCAGTATCATATGCTTACAGCAGTTCTAACAAGGGCAGAGCTACTTAATACTGGCCTGTGCTTTTGACACTACTGGTTGGCAAGCTTTGCCTAGGAGCTGGTCAGTCTAAGAAGCTGCTCTCCCATAGATCTGGATAAAGTCTCAATGCCCCAAAAGTCCACCATATTGTACTGTTGGACCGTGGTGTAATTCATGGTTTTGCAGCAGAATGAGTAAGGTTATCCTTTATAAGTTTTTGCCAGCACAGCTTTGCAAAAATCCACCTGCCTCTACACATAGATTTACAAAATGTTGTGACTGTTGTATATGGGACAGATAGATCCAAAATAACTTCCTAGAGTCAATAAGACCTTATAGAATGAAGAAAGTTTTCCTTATTTTCCATGAAGGACAAATTTTAATATCTTTAATTTTATGTTGATAACTTGGAAAAAATTTTTTCTTGTGGTAGGACTTAACACTAATGACTTTGTAACTCAAATAGAGCAGATGACAGAAACTTTTGAACTGTGGGAATTGGTACTCTTGCATATCATCTGTTCTTACCGATTCTAGGACTAAAATAAGGAATAGTTTCTCC